CCAGCCTGGGCTACAGAGCGAGACTCCGTCTCAAAAAAAAAAAAAAGAAATTACTGATGCACACACTATGTTGTAAATTCTTATCACTGTATACGGTACTTCTGCATACAGATGTTATGTTAAAGAATTACTTCATCCCCATGTGACCTTCTCACCTCATAATCAAATGACACTGAATCCCTCACTAACCTACCCCCGCCCTCACTAAACTTAATAATAAATGCTAGCATATCCAGAGCATTGTTGGCACTGCGGGACCAGAAGGCGATGACCCCTCTGGACCCATCTTTCACTATCTTGTGTGTGTCTATTATTTCTCGACTTGACGATCCACCTGGGAACAGAGAGAGAGCCCCGTTGCATTGCGGGCTGCTGGCCAGATCCCTCAATAACACCCTGCTAATATTTTCTATTTTTTGCAGAGACAGGGTTTTGCCATGTTGCCCAGGCTGGGCTTGAAATCTTGTGCTCAGGCAATCCTCCTGCCTCAGCCTCCCAAACTGCTGGGATTACAGATGTGAGCCACCACACCTGGCCCAAAACTTTTCTTAAGTTAATTAAAAAAAAGAAGACATAAGCAAGAACTGTAAATCCACCTTCTCAATGCTAATATGAATTTGAAATGTCAAAATTTGAATATTTATTATTGATAGAGACTTTTTTCTTATTTACAATTAAATTACTTATGATACACATTTGAAAGTGTCAGAAATTCATGAATTTCCAATTAATTATCGTAAGATGGATATTAAATATATTAAATTAAGTATATCCAAAGTGTGTCTCTAAATGAAATATATATATTCATATTGTTAGCATTCTAATTTCACAATACTATTCATGTGTACACCTACGTGTTGGGTAAAATATCTTGTTACTATAAATTTTTTGGCTCTACATTGAGAAGAAAATCATAGAAAGGCAAATTTGTTAAGGAATCAAACATATTAGCATGATCTTTGAGTATGTTTGTGCATGTATAATGCTACTTTGACTGCTATGTAAAATAATCCAGATTTAGTCACCATAGCTAAGAATCCGAAAAAGCATTTGGAAGAATTTGGGTTGCTAATGATGCTATTAAAATATTTTAATACCATGCATGTGTACACGTGTGAAAAAATATTTTGATACTACACATTTTTTGAATATTAGAGAAAAATTCATAGAAAGATAATTTTGTTAAGGCTTATAACGTATGTAGTGTAACTACTTTGACTGCTTTAATAAAATCACCCAGATTTTGTGACTATAACTGACAATGTAAATAAGGAGTTTTGAGAATTTAACTTGTTAGTGATGCTATTAAAAGGTGAAATGAAGCTTATACACTCTATAATTGCACAGAGTATTTGTGTCAGTTCATATGAAAGTAGAACAAAATTAAACAGTCAAAAAGAGAGTATTCTTTACTAGAGGTCACTTTTGGCATAATTTTTAGAATGTGGTAAAAGAAAAGAAATAGCAAGTAAATCATTGGAAATATGTTGTTTCTATGTTATTTCTGATGAAATGCTATGTGAGGGTATTTGTCTAGGCCTGATTCTGGGAATAATATATGAATCATGCCAGGCAAAGTGGCTCATGCCTGTAATCCCAGCACTCTAGGAGGCCAAGGCTGGTGGATCACCTGAGGTCAGGGGTTCCAGACCAACCTTGCCAACATAGTGAAATTCCATCTCTACAAAAAATAAAAAAAAAAACTGCTGGGTGTGGTGGCAGCCACCTGTAATCCCAGCTACTAGGAGGCTGAGGCAGGAGAATTGTTTGAACCAGGGAGGCAGAGGTTGCAGTGGGCCGAGATTGTGCCATTGCACTCCAACCTGGGTGACAAGAGAGAAATTCTGTCTAAAAAAAGAAAAAAAATGTGAATCTATGAGGAAGAATAATAGTGTTCTCCCACCACCATTAACTGTAGTGCTTTGAAAAGAAGACCAAAATCACATTTATTACATAACATTCTACCTTTTAGCTGACATCATCATCATTATTATCATCATCTACATTTACATCTATCTTATTAAATGATTTATTTCTGAAATATTTACACACATAATTTGGGTAAAGTCTATGTAATTTCTAAGAGACATCATTGTAAGAAAGTTATATTAGTAAACAACAAAGTTCAAGTCAGGCCGAATACATTTAGATTTAGAAAGTTAAGTGTAGTGTAGTTTAAAATACATTGCTTAAGGAAACAATTACAGATTATATTAAACTAATCCAAGTAACATTACAAAAAGATTTTTATTTTAGTATAAATAAAATTGCTTAATACGAAAAATAAGTAAACCATTTCACAATCAAGCTCTTATTTATAAAGAGAGGATTTTAGGGCTAAATAAATCAAAGAGAAGTAATCCCTCCCCCACATCTTCTCTATTTCATTAGGTAATGATGGAGTTCAAAGGCAGAGAGCCCCATTTCTACAACATAAGCAAGGTGAAAATTAATTCACTGACTACAACAATGTAGCTGTGGTTGGTGAAATATATTTTATCTATTGCAATGATATTTTGAGATTGAGTGCTGCTCATTGAGTTTGCCTGTGAGCAGAATTTGTGGTGAGGACCCAGCAACAGACAAGCTAGTATCCAAAAAAAGCTACTCATATCAACTTAATTTCCAATTTCTTTCAAATTGAAGGTAAATTCCAGAACAACATTTCTATTCTATTCTCTGACCAAAGTGATGGGAAACAAAGAAAATTGTTACCATTTTCATTTCTAACATACTAAAACAAAACACAAAAAACCCCAAAAGTCAAAAGCACTTTTAAAAAGAACATGCTGTTAACAGTAGTTTGTTCAGTTTCCCCATAGAAAATGATTTATGGAAGGAGAATAAAAGATTATTCCGAACACTAAAAGAATAAGACTGAAAAAAATGAATTATCAATATTGAGAATCCAATAGACAGAGTTAACCAGTTAGATGCAGTAGAAGAGATAATAAGTGAATTGGAAGATAGCTACAAAGAATGAAGCACAGAGAGTGAGATGGCAATATACAGAGCTAGAGGGTAACACATTGATGCTACAGTCAGAACACCTAACATACTTCTGGAGTTCTGTGAGATAAGAGGAGAGAAAATACAGCAAGAGAAATGTTGCAAGGATTTTTCTAAAAGTGATAAAATGTATGCCTCCAATTATTTTTTGTAATCTCAAATGTCAGGCTTGATAACTAAAATCAAGTTAACATAAAATAATACAGGACAGCAAAGATCAATAGAAAATCTGAAAAGTAGCTAGAGGTAGAAGATAATGTTGAAAAGAACTGCATTCTAAATACAACCTGATTTTAACAGAAAATATGGAAGCAGGAATTCAATGGAATAATGGGAATCATGTCTTCAGTGTATTTCCAAAGAATAGTAGACCTTCAAAAACAGAATTTGAAAGTAATATTTGTCAGATAAAATAAAATTACTGAAAATACAAAGTTAAACAGGCAAGGAGCAATAAAAATGACAATGAAAAATGTGTAATTCTAAATAAATATTGACTGAGTAAAACAATACTGTCTTCTTGGATTGAATGTATAATTGATAAGATATATGCAAATAGGAATAAGGAGACTGGAGATAAAAGTGACAGGAATAAATTTAGTCAAACTATGTTTTGGGCTTTTTTATGTCTGTAAGGAGAATGTGAACATCATAATCAAGGACCCTGTAATTGCACACCCAGGTATATTATATGCAAAAGAATTGTAGCAAATGATATGTGAAAGAATGCTTACTGTAGCATTATTCATAATAGCTCAGAAATAAGCTGCCCAAATATATATCAAATAAGGATGGATAAATAATTACAGTAAAATCATAAAATGAAAAATTATACAGAAGCAAAAAGAAATGGATCACATGTACATGCAACTATGGAGTTAAATTTTAGATACATAATATTGATTCCAGGAAGCCATGAATAAGAACATATAGGATAGCACCTACACACAGTTCAAAGCAGGACAAACCGAGCTATTGAGTTTAGGGTCATATTCCTTGTTAGTAAAGTATAAAGAAAATTTTAAAAAGATCATCATAAATTATGGATGTTGCTTATCACAGGAGATGTGAAGAAAGGTGTAGGGACTTGGAAAGTGGCATTGAGGTAAACTTAGGCTCTTAGCAATGTTCCATGTTTAGCCCTACATGATGGTTACATGAGTGTTTATGACACATTGCTATGTTTTTCTTTTGGCTAATTTCTAAGTGTGCAGTCTGGTTATAATATAAAAATTAATTAGAAGAAATGTTCCATGAAAATTATTATTACTCTGCTCGTTATACACTGAAGGAAAAAATTCACTATTTGTATACATTTATGTATAATTCTAAGAAATTTTAAGTAGAAACTTTCTGATTTTAGTTACAACTTTCTGAAAGTTGACATGATGTTACCTGCCAACCGCAGATTTTTCAATAGGCTTTTCTTTTAGGCTTAATTATCCACTTCATGTGACAAAACTTTGACATTCTCAGTCTGTTTTTCCCTTGAATCCCGAATTCCTGACACAACAAGTGTGGACATGTTTCCCACACTCTTGGTTTAGCAGAATGCCTATATCAGTTACGTTCTTCTGCAAGAGAAAATCCTCCAAAACTGCTTTAGATGTTTGTACCTCACACGTCTTCGGATTTCATTTTTCTAAGCTAGGTTTGGTGGATGGCTCTGGTTACTGGAGATGGGTCATGTACTGCATCTTGAAGCTAGTTCAGCTGATTTAGGCTAGAAAAGGCAGTGGCGTTCTGACTCCATTAATTTCTCATTCTTCTTCTGGGAACAGTGTACTAGCCAAATGATGTCCTCATGGTAAACGGAAAAGAGTGAGAAACTCCAGTATGGAAGCCGTCTTAAATCTCTGTGTAAAGTCTACTAATTTCCTGATGACTAAAGCAAATTACAGGAGGGAATGCGGAGTCCAAGGTCAAGGTAGTCACCCTGCCTGTTGTGGGAGGGTAGTGCAAGGTTATATGACAAAGTGTAGGGTACTTTGAAATATTTACAAAATTACTGAACATTTTAATCAAATAATTAATATTTAAACAAAACAGAGTTGAGTGTAATTATACCAAAGACCTAAGCATGAGAAACATGCTTGATAAATATTATTCATTGTCTGACAGCCGTGAGTGGGAAAATAGGACTAATTCCACCTGGATGACCTCCTGGAAACTCGTTTTCCGTTTGGGGAATTATAAGAAAATAATTCTTTCCATCCCCTAAGGGTGTGAGTGTATGTGCGTCTATATGTTTATGAGTTTACTAATAATGGTGTCGTATAAATTTATTGGTTATCAGAAACCAGATTTTAAGTTGTATTGGCCTCCCAGGGCTTTCCAAGATAACCTTAGATGATTTTGATAAAAGGTTTAGAATCTGGTATTTAAGTCTGGCATAAAAATAAATCCATATTGGTATGATCCTAGTTATGACCAAGCTCCTTTAATGATTTAGACATTTACTGTATGATATATGTATGTGGTTTTAAAATTTCCCTATGAAACAACTGAAGATGCTGCATACAAATTATGGAGAGGTTAAACAAGGCAAAAAATTGCAAAACAATGAAAAAGAATATGCCTTTATTTGCATACTGACACATGAAAATTCACTTTCCACTTCAACATCAGTATAAAAACTTCAGCATGTAGCAGGGACACATAGTATATTAAGAGGAGTGAATTTGAGCTGTTTTGAGAATAACAATATTTTCTATTTCTATAAAGACAGCTTTGAACTCATCCATTAGTATATGCTGGTGCTTTCCTGTTGACATTAGTCACAGAATTTAAAGGCCCAATGTTATTGCACAGTTAGTAATCAAGTATTTATTGAAGTTAAAGTCTGGATATTAAAGGAATCAGAACCAGTGTTATTAAGCCTGCAATTTTTTTGGTCTAACATCTAACATGATGTATTTTCTGTTCATCATTTTATCAATTCTGTTAGTGTTTGCATTTGTTCTTGGAAATTTTGCCAATGGCTTCATAGCTCTAGTAAATGTCATTGACTGGGTTAAGACACGAAAGATTTCCTTAGTTGACCAAATTCTCACTGCTCTCGTGATCTACAGAATTGGTTTACTCTGGGCCATATTATTATATTGGTATGCAACTATGTTTAATTCGGCTTTATGTAGTTCAGAAGTAAGAATTTTTGCTTCTAATATCTCGGCAATAATCAACCATTTCAGCATCTGGCTTGCTGCTAGCCTCAGCATATTTTATTTGCTCAAGATTGCCAATTTCTCCAACCTTATTTTTCTCCACCTACAGAAGAGAATTAAGAGTGTTGTTCGGGTGATGCTGTTGGGGCCCTTGGTATTTTTGATTTGTAATCTTGCTGTGATAACCACGGATGAGGGTGTGTGGACAAAAGAATATGAAGGAAATGTGACTTGGAAGATCAAATTGAAGAATGCAATACACCTTTCAAACTTGACTATAAGCACGCTAGCAAACCTCATACCCTTCACTCTGACCCTAATATGTTTTCTGCTGTTAATCTATTCTCTGTGTAAACATCTCAAGAAGATACAGCTCCATAGCAAAGGATCTCAAGATCTCAGCACCAAGGTCCACATAAAATCTCTGCAAACTGTGATCTCCTTCCTCATGTTGTTTGCCCTTTACTTTCTGTGTCTAATCAGTTTAACCTGGTGTCCTTGGAAACAGCAGAGCAAACTTGTATTTCTGCTTTGCCAAACTCTTGCAATCATGTATCCTTCATTCCACTCCTTCATCCTGATTATGGGAAATAGGAAACTAAAACAGACTTTTCTTTCAGTTTTGTGGCAGGTGACATGCTGAGTGAAAGGACAGAAACCCTCAACTCCATGGATTCACAAGGGGAGTATCATGTGTCTTCTAGCAGTAAACAAACTGACAGTGTGTGGAACATTTTATATTTCTATTGATTGTTCCATAGTGTATGTATTTGAGTAATTTCAAAAAAAAAATACCTAAAAAAGTCTTACATATATATATATGGGTGTGTATGTGTGCATGTATAAATAACAACATTGACCATAAATTATGAAGCTGAGTATATTTCACATATTTATTGTATGTATATTTTATTATAGCTCATTGTATAATATTTCCTTTGAAGAAATTATTATCTCCATTTATAATTAGGAACTTACAGCTTTTATGAGGAAATTAATGCTGTTTTCCATTGTAATTTGTACCACATATATGTACTTAACTATCATTGGTGAACCCCTAATTTTTTGGATGGTAAAGACATGCAATTCTAAATCAATGATGAGAATGTATCTTTGGGGTAGGTTTTATTTCATTAGGAAATCTTATTTTATGTTTAGTAGAAAGCAAATTGTTAGCTAATGATGCACACAACAAAATTTGAGTGAGAAACATATGTAGAGTAAGTTTTGTACATGTATACCAAAAACAGTACGGAGGAATACTAGATTTAATACCAGTATGTGAATAACCTAGAATAAAAATAATTTTTGTAATAGGAGTGAAGAAACATGATGATAGTCATTTCAGTGCTGTTATAATTTTTTTATGTGTAGTTAGAAAAGTCATTTCTTCCACTTTTTGAATTAAAGGATACCTTTTTTGAAGTTGACATCTGATGTAAAGTATTTCCGTTTATTCTTCTTAGCCACCTCTGAGCCCCTGAATTTCCAATTTTCTCCTTTGTCCTCCATTCCTAATATTCCTCAAAAAAACTCAAATATTCTCTGTCTTATAAAGGCCCAACCAAAAGAGAGTATAGAAACTATAGACGATAATTGAATGAAACTTTCTTCAAATGTTAAATGTTAAACTTTCTCTAAATGTTAAAAATATATGAAATCTATATATTGATTATAGGAAATGTATTAATGATTTGTTTTATTATAATTGTTTAAATGGTGAAATAACACAAAGCGTGTTGACGTATCTATTGATACCGAGTACTATTATAAGAAGGAAATATACAGCCTTGTTGAACAACTAAATTCTGTGTGACTCTTAATTCTTGGTGTCATGACATTTTAACATTAGTATGTAAAACTTAAAATAACTCCACATCTGAGATATATATCTATATATCTATATATCCATACACACACACACACACACACACATTTTGTTTATCATACATCTTCCCTAGTACAATATAATCACCATAAAAAGAGAGGTCATATCTGTCTTGCTTTCTCTTGACTCCCAGGACCAAAAAGCCAGCACAAATCAGATCCACATATATATGTATCAGATCCACATCTGATATGTGTGTGTGTGTGTGTGTGTGTGTGTGTGTATATATATATTTTGTATATCTATCTATCTATATATACACACACACATTTTGTTTATCACACATCTTTTCCTCAGGAGACATTCAAGGAAATCTGAGAAAGCACATGTTTGTGTATAATACAGTCCCCTCCTTGTGCCACTCAGATGTGCTGACGCCCTCCAATTGTGGCTGAATTTACAAGCATATGACTTGTGCAGTTGCATGGAATCTTGTGTTTGAGGGGCTTTTTGGTTGGATTAATGCTCTGTACTTGTATTTTTGCTTTTCAGACAGTGGATACTCCTCTGCTGAAGAGGGAATAGTTCTGCACTAATTCCCTAGGTATTTGCTTTCTCTTCTCCTATGGGCTTGATGGAGACATGCACAGAATCCTGTAATGCCCACAATGCATGCCTCTAGCAGCTTTGAATTCTGCTGGATCATCTGACACAATGGGTAGAGCAGGTTGGGCCAGAGCCTATATCTGCTGTAGAGATATCTCATGTTCTGGATTTCACTTGAAACCAGTAGTCTTTACATTCATTCTGTAACCCATCTCATTTTGTCAGAGGCTAGGTAGGTTAAGTGAATAGGGATATAAAAAGACTTTATTAACATGTCGGAGCCATATCATCTACTGTGGTGTTTGTGGACACCAAAACCCCAAGAGGCTCGATAAACACTGTGCTTCTCTTTTAGTCGTAGGAAGTATATATAAGGCAACAGGCCACTTACTTTAAAAAGGATGTTTCTGTTGGTTATGGTGGCTCATGCCTGTAATCCCAGCACTTTGGGAGACCAAGGTGGGCAGATCACTTGGGGCCGTGAGTTTGAGATCAGTCTGGGCAGCATGGTGAAACCCCATCTTTACTTAAATTAAAAAAAAAAAGAAAATTGCCAGGCATGGTAGCAAAAGCCTGTAAACACAGTTACTCAGGAAGTTGAAGGATTTGAACTGATTGAACCCAGGAGGCGAAGGTTGCAGTGAGCCAAGATTGCTCCAATGCATTCCAGCCTGGGTAACAGAGGGAGACTCTGTCTCAAAAATAAATAAATAAATAAATAAATAAATAAATGGATTTTTTGGCATGTGGACCAGGAATTTGGGACCCCTAAAAAAAATCTGTGTTTCAGATCTCTAAATATTGTCAGGTGTATCTCTCTTCTGGTGTTGTATTTCTATTTAATGTTCAAGTATTTTACTGTAGGGAACGTTCCATTTCCTGGTTATTGCACCAATTACCGTAACATTATTAATAGAATAACATGATGTTTTGCAAAATGTAAATTAAAGTGAGAGCGGAAGTGACATCGCCTTGACATAAAACAGTGAAGCAGCGCTTTTATTCTTAACACACAGAGGCCAATTGTTATAATCTCCTGACCCACCCATGGGTGTAAAATAAGAAATATTCACTAAATCAAGAGCCACATGCAAACTGCCAGAAGCTCTGCTCTGCTCAGGGAAGATACCACATCCTAGAGAGCATTTGTAAATAGTGATTTAAATTTACGGAACTCTGACCTCATTTTATGATGTGTCTGATTTTGGTAGAGGTCAGTTAGGTTAGGCGGATAGGGATATAAAAAGACTACCATCCCCTGTGACAACACTTTCAAGTGTTTTGTCACGGTAGTGATCAATTCCATACCTTGCAGAATGTGATTATTACTTTTCAATCATTGTTGCAGTGGAGAATTTCACAGGTTTCCCGTTGGTCTTGCTCTAATAATGTCCCTTACTGTACAGGTCAGGAAGAAAGTGAGAATCCTGCCAGCTGCCATGTGTGTCCATTTCAATTACACCTTCAGGAAGAGGTAATAATGGAAGACTGATTAGATGCCGCTTGGGATGGACATGAGCCAAAACTCTAAGTAGCATCTGACCTTCAAAAACTCCCAGTGCAGGGTGGGTATGATGACTCATGCCTGCAATTCCCACACTTTGGGAGGCACAGTTGGGAATATCTCTTGACGCCAGGAGTTCCAGACCACCCTGGGCTACATGGTGAGAGCCTGTCTCTACAAAAACTGAAAAAAAAAAAAGAAAGGAAGAAAGAAAAGAAAAAGAAAAAACAACAACAAAACTTATTTTGGCATGGTGGTGCTCACCTGTAGTCCCAGTTACCCAGGAGGCTGAGGCAGGAGACTCCCTTGAACTTATAACCAATATGCAAGTCAGTTGCTGGCTGCATCCAGAGTCCAGTTAACAAGAGTGAGGCCTGGTACAAAAGTAATAAATTTATTCCAAACCTAGCTTGGGGAAGGGGCACGAGAAGTCCTGCCTTTAAGTGTACCACTTCACCTTTGGAGCAGAAAGCAGACACTTTTATAAGGTAAGGGGGGATATTGAGCAAGGGTAGAGGGTCCTCCTGCAAGCTTGGTGCCTTATCTACCATGCGAGGGGTCTGTCCTGCAGACCCTGACTCAATGACAGAGGAATAACATACACTGACACATATATTTGGCTTGTCAGCCCGGCCCAGCCTCCTGGCCACTTACAGACTCTCAGGAGAGTGCTGTCAGTCTTGGTCCAGACTTGCTGGCCTTTCTTGGCATTTGTTTAGCACACATTAAATGACAAAAGCTTTGAGTCAACACAATTAGAGGGTAATCACCCTGGTCACCTTTTCGCAGGAGAGCAATATTGCCTGTGAGTGATGAAAGGTTAGTTTTAGGACTATCTCAGTAAACAAGCTCTTTAGATAAACTACTCTACATTCCTTTGTATCTGTGCCCTAAGTTCTCTGGCTCCTGCAAAGAGACTCTGGCTGCCGTCAGCCAAGCTATCTGAAGCTATGCAACAACTTCTTGGTCTTCCAAGAAGGTTTTTGTTTTATTTTATAATTTTCCCTACCATTCTGACTGAACCCCTACACTACCAGGTAGTTGAATTGGTGCCTTCTTTTGCAGAAATACATTACAAAAGTGGCCAAGTGGGTATGGTTTTCATATGCCCTCCTGTTGAATGAAAGTCCTCAGGCAATTCCTGGAGTGGAGCAGAGCCTGGAATTTCCAGCTCCACTTCCTGGAGGTAAAAGTTCTGTCGTGGGTGTGCTTTGGTCTGCAAATTGACTGTCAGTTCTCAGTGGAGATCTGTCTTGGAGCACATAGTTAGAGAAATGTGCCTTGTAGGGAATGTCCAGTGAGTGGGGGTGAAAGGTTACATTTGCATTTATGAAGGGCTAAGCAGGATATAGAGAACAAAGGGAAGAAGGAGAGAAGAGAAGATAAAATAATAATAAAAAATAGTAACTCATACTCTTTTTCTTAGGAAAAACTGGGGCAATCTGTTACAAACCCAGGCTTTACTGAGTAAAATCATTACTCAAGGCTGTATTGAGTAATCATCATGCCACTGTACTACATACAGCCTGGGTGACGGATTGAGACTGAGTCTCTGAAAAAACCCAGATGCAAATAACACAAAAAACAAAAAAAAATTAAAAAGAATATCTCCCACTCTATCTCATAGACCACAGTGTCTTTTGGGTACAAAGACATTAGTGTTAGTTCAGGCTCTGCTGGGAGGGCCAATATCTGGTTTACTGGTGGCAATTTCATATGAGTCTGCAGCAACCTCAAGTCTTGCCTCCTCAGAAGAAGGAATTCAACTGAGGGGCGTAAGTCAGAAGAGACTGAAGGAAGTTTCTGAGGAGGAATGGAAGTTGATTAAAAAGAGAACAGGAAAGAAAGGAAAGCACACTTGGAAGAGACCACAGTGGGCACTTTCGAGGTCAAGTGCAGTGTTAGGCCTTTTGACTTGGGGTTTTATATGTTGGTATACCTCTGGGGTCTTGTGTTCCTTTTCCCACGATTCTTCCCTTAGGGTCTTGTGTTCCTTTTTCCATGATTCAGCCTCTTAGGGTGGGCTGCTCACATTCGTGGTGGCCTGCTAACACTTGAGGGGTGAGCATGCACAGTGTGTTTACTGGAGTTGTACACATGCTTGCCTGAGGCATTCTTCCCGTTTTTGGTGGAATGCCCAAAGAAGGTCATATTCCACCATTTTCTCTCTCAACACGCATGCCTCAGTCTACTCGCCCTGTTCCTGAGCTGCTGACTACCAATTTTAAGCACTTGTATTTATTGTGAAATTGTCTCTCCCTGGTGCCTGTGACCAATTATTATTTTTAGAGAGGCAGTGTGACAACTGCCAGGCCATCACCTGATGGCCACCTGACATTCCTGGTGGGTGGTGAGAGCCGTCTTCTGCCCCACTCATGTGTGACTATCTACCTACTGTAAGAGCCCTATACCATATGAATACACCCTGAATATCCTTGTAGTGAATTTTCAGCATCCTTTATCTAGGGGACTTAAGCTTCCCTTCAATTATTGAATTCTTGTTCTCGGAATTGGCTGTGTCCTGACAACTGGTTGAGGTTCTTTGATTTTCCACTTCAAAGGCTGACCTTAGGAATGAACTTTTCAGCTCCGTTTTGCTCTTGGTTTATAAGTATTTATCAATTATGAAACCTCATCAACTATTGGCTTATGAACTCATTCCAATGAAGCTGGGTTTAAAATAATCCTTGTTTCACTATGATCATGATAGAAACACAATTTATGAGTAAACTTTTATTTCTAGAGAGTATTTTAGGACCAAATTTTCAAACAGAGGTAATATCTCAGATCTTCTGTCACATTTGAGTGAGTGATGATGGAGTTTGAAGGTTATACTTCTATAATGAAAACTATATTCATGGATGGGGAATGAATGGTGGAATTCCTTAGAAGCACCAGTTCAGTTTTGTTTCCATGGAACTTAAAGTCCTTCAATCTTTGATACACTTGTAAGTACTGTTTTAATTTTTGATATTTTAAAGATTATTTTAAACGAAGAAGTCTTGATTTCTGCTAATAGAAATAAAGTAAAATTTAAATCACGGAATAGAATGGTGGAGCTGTGGTTGAGATACTATATTTTATTAATTGTAATGACATTTTCAGATCAAGTACTGCTTATTAAATTTCCCTGGGAGGAGAGTTTGTGGTGATGACCCAGCAACAGACAAGCTACTATCCAAAAACAAACAAACAAACAAACAAACAAAACAAAAAACAAAAAACTACTAACATGAAATCAATTTCAAGTTTCTTCCAAGTTGCAGGAGAATGCCTAGACCATGATTTTAATCTCTTCTGTGACCTAAGTATTACAAAAAGTAGAAAATCGTTGCCATTTTCATGTCCGGTGTACTAAAAATTTATAAAACTATCTTTTTTTTTGAGAATTTGTGTTAGGAATACTTTGTTTAGTTTCTCCATTAAAAAATGATTTATACAAGGAGAACAAAAGTTTATTTCTACCGCTAAAACAATGATAAAAAAAGAGTAATCAATATTGACAGTCCAATTCTCAATTGTTAAATATTGATATTTAACAACCAGCTAAATGTAAGAGAAGAAAGAATGAGTGAATTGGAAGAAAGCTTCCTAGAATGAAGCACAAAGAGACCAAGAGATACAAAATATAAGGCTAGAGGGTCAGAGACATTGAAGCTACAATCAGAACATGTAACGCACTTCTGCAGTTCTGGAAGATTAGAAGAGAGAAAATGGGGCAGAAGCAATGTGGAGATTTTTTAAAAAGTGACAAAAAGTATCAGTTCATATATTTTAGGAACCATCAATCTTCAGACAAGGTAACTAAAACCAAATTAACATAAAATGACAGGACATCAAATACCAATAGAAAATCTGAAAAGTAACTAGAGGAAGAGATAGATTACATTAAAGGAAATAACTGTCTAAATGACAGTCTGATTTTCAACAGACCAAAATCAAGCTAGAGTTCAATGGAATCATGTTTTCAGTGTTTTTCAAAAGTAGAATAGACCTTGATAAACAGAAACTTAAAATGATTTTTTTCAGATAATAGAAAAATTGTTATTTTTAATATTATTGTATGTAGAGTTGGAGTCTCACTCTGTTGTCCAGGCTGGAGTTCAGTGGTAGGATCATGGCTTACTGCAGTCTGGAACTCCTGGGCTCAAACCATCCTCCCACTCAGCCTTGTGAGTAGCTTCACGATGCCTGGCTAACTTTTTCATTCATTGTAGAGGGTGTTTCGCTGTGTTGCACAGACTGGTCTTGAACTCCTGGGTGCTCCTGCCCCAGCCTTACAAAATGTTGGGATTATGGGTGTGAGCGACCCTGCCTGGCCAGTAAAGGGACTTACTGAAAATATTAAGTTGAACATACGAGAAGGAATGCAAATTAATGAAAGTGGTAAATATATGCATAATTCTAAATGAACGTTTACTGTAAAAAATAATAATGTCTTGTTGGGGTAATTATGTAATTGACAAGGTATATGCAAATGGCAAAAAATAGACTGGAGGCCGAGGTGACAGGAGTAACTTTACTTAAAATCTTTTTTGAGCTTTTCTATGTCTATGAGGAGATTTTGAACAATGACCCTGTAATTCTACCCAAAGGTATATATACAAAGAAATTGTATCAAATGATATATGAGAGAATGCTCTAGTAGAATTATTCATAACTGTTCAAAAAAAAGCTGGCCAAATATATATTAAGGATAGATCAATCATTACAGTGAATCCATACAACAGAACAACATAGAGAAGTGAAAAAAAAATCACACATACATGCAACTATGTGACTAAATTTCAGAAACACAATGTTGAGTCCAAGAAGCCACAAACAAGAAGAGCATGAGGATTGCACCTACACACAGTTCAAAGCAGGCCAGACCAAGCTATGCAGTTTAGGGTTGCACAACTAATTGGTAAAGTATAACGAAAATCAAGAAAACAATCATAATAAATTATGGATATTGCTTATCTCCAGAGATGTGAACAAGGGGTTATGGGCCTGGGAAGTGGCATGGAGTTGGACCTAGGCTGTTTTCGGTGTTCCTTGTCTTGCCCTGTATCATGGTTACTTGAGTGCTTATGATACACTGCAGTATTTCCCGTTTTTGTTTTGGCTCATTTCTAAGTGTGTATTATAATTTTAATATAAAAATTTTAAATTAGGAGAAATATCTCATAGAAATTTTCTATTACTCATCTCATTACATACTGAGGGAAAAAATAAACTATTTGTATACATTCTTAAACAACTCTAAGAGAGTTGAAGTAAGAACTTTCTTATTTAGTTGCAACATGAGGAAATTTGAGATGATGTTATCTGTCACCTCCAGATTTTTCCAAAGGATTTCTTCTAGCCTTAATTATCCACCTCACAGGAATAAACCTTTGCCATTCACCATTGATTTTTTTCGATTGGCTCCCGAATTCCTGACACAACAAGGTTGTTCATATTTCCCACACTCTTGGTTTAACAGAGTTCTTTTATCAGTTAATGTTTTACTGCAAGAGGAAAACCTCCAAAACTACATTAGATATTTATATGTCACAAGTTTTGGATTTCATTTTTCTTAGCTGGGTTTGGTGGATGTCTCTGGTGATTTGTGGTGGGCCAAATTCTGCATCTTGGAGGTCGTTAGAGTTTGGCCAATTTCATCTGAATCAGGTGGGGACAATCTGCCTTCATTAACTTCTCATTCTCCTTCTGGGAACAGTGTATTAGCCAGGTGATAGTCTCATGGTAAATGGAAAGAGGAAGAATCCCCAGTATGGAAGCCATCTCAAATCTTTATGCAAAGTGTAGTCATTTTCTGTTCATGAAAGTAAGTTAAATGATTGAACTCCAAGTTCAGGGGAAAGGTAGTCAGTCTTCCTGTGATGGGAGGATGCTGAAAGATTATATATCAAAGAGTCTGGTAGTCAGGAATATTTATAAAATTGCTGAATATTTTAATTAAATAATAAATATTTAAACATTAGACTTGAAAGAAACTTTACCAAAGGTCTAAGAATTAGAGATATGTTTGATAAATAAATATTGTTCATGGGCTGAAAACCCTGAGTGAGAAAATAGGACTAATTTCAGCTGGACAACCTCCTGGAAATGCATTTTATATTTTGGAAATTACAAGAAAATAATTCATTCCATTCATAAGTGGTGTGCACATGTGTGTGTTTGTGCGTGTATTTATGAGCTTGTGAATAATGAAGTTACAGAAAAGTTTTAGCAGTAACCAGATCTTATAGAGTACTGGCCTGCCTGTGTTTCTCAAGTAAATCTTAGATACTTTTGATAAGAGAAGTTTGGATTCTGTGTATTTATATCTAGCATTTAAAAAAGACTATATAGGTGATGATCTTAGTTATGACCAAGCTCCCTTTAAGAATTTAGGCATTTTACTATATGATCTCTGTATTGGGTTGTAAAACATTCCTAACAGCTGAAGTTGCTAAAGACAAATGATGGAGAGGTTACACAAGAAAAAATTGCAAATACTGAAAGTGAATATGTCCTTGTTTGCATACTAGCAAATGAGAATTCAGGTTTCATGTCAACTTCAGTGTGAATAATTCCAGTGTATAACAAGAACAGACAGTGAATGAGTTAATTTGAGTTGTTTTGAAAATAAGAATGTTTTCCATAAAGAGAGCATTGAACTCATCCGTTAGCATGTCATGGTGATTTCTGGCTTTACACTGGTCACAACAGTTAAAAGTAAAAAGAATGTCACAGGAGATACACAAATCAGGTGCATATAGAATTTAAGGTTAGGATATTCAAGCAATCACAACCAGTGATATTACACTGGCATTTAAAAAATTTCTTTTTGTCTGTTTAGACATGATAACTTTTCTGCCCATCACTTTTTCCATTCTAATAGTGGTTATATTTTTTATTGGAAATTTTGCTAATGGCTTCATAGCATTGATAAATTCCACTGAGTGGGTCAAGAGACAAAAGATCTCCTTTGCCGGCCAAATTCTCACTGCTCTGGCGGTCTCCAGAGTTGGTTTGCTCTGGGTATTATCACTACATTGGTATGCAACTGAGTTTAATCTAGCTTTTCGTAGTGTAGAAGTAAGAAGTACTGCTTATAATGTCTGGGTAGTGACCAACCATTTCAGCAACTGGCTTGCTACTAGCCTCAGCATGTTTTATTTGCTCAGAATTGCCACTTTCTCCAACCTTATTTTCTTCACTTAAATAGGAGAGTAAAGAGTGTCATTCTGGTGACACTGTTAGGGCATTTGCTGTTTTTGGTTTGTCAACTCTTTGTGATGAACATGAATCAGATTGTACGGACAAAAGAATATGAAGGAAACATGACTTGGAAGATCAAATTGAAGAGTGCAATGTACCTTTCAAATACAACTGTAACCATGCTAGCAAACTTTGTACCCATCACTCTGACCCTGATATCTTTTCTGCTGTTAATCTGTTCTCTGTGTAAACATCTCAAGAAGATGCAGGTCCATGGCAAAGGATCTCAAGATCCCAGCACCAAGGTCCACACAAAAGCTTTGCAAATTGTGACCTCCTTTCTCTTGGTATGTGCCATTTACTTTCTGTCCATAATCCTATCAGTTTGGAATTCTGGGAGGCTGGAAAAGAAACCTTTCTTCATGTTGTGCCAAGCTATTAAATTCAGCTATCCTTCAACCCACCTATTCATCCTTATTTGGGGAAACAAGACACTAAAGCAGACTTTTCTTTCAGTTTTAAGGAATGTAAAGTACTGGGTGAAAGGACAGAAGGCTTCATCTCCATAGATTCACAAGAGGGGCATTGTGTGTCTTCTAGCAGAAAACTAAATGGAAGTGTATGAAACATTTTATATTTGCTACTGGGTTTTCTGTAACATACATATGTAAATAATTTCCAAATATATACCTAGAAAAGTCTTTTACCTAATGTTAGTCTGGAAAGGTATATATGTGTGTGTGTGTGTGTGTGTGTATTTATGTGTGTATAAAAAACTGAAGAACATTGACAATAACATGCTTTTAATTGTTTTTTCGCAAAAAATGCCAAACTATAGAAAATAATTCCTCGGAATTATGAAGCCGTGTTTATTTTATGCATGTATTTTTTATTTCATTTGAAGAATTTATGTCTATTTATCATTATTAAGAACTAACAGCTTATCTTGGGGAAAATATTGCTCTTTTTGTTGTTATTTGAACCACATAAATATACCACAGTGTGCTTAGAATTCGTTGTTTTAACCTATAACTTTTTGGATAATAATGTCATTCAATTCTATCTCAATAATGAGGATGTATCTTTGGGGTTTTATTCCAATAAGAATTCCTATTTTATGTTTAGTTAAATGCAAACAGAATTGTTAGAAAACAATGCACACAATAAAATTTGAGTGAGAAGCATATGTAGAGTAAATTTCATCTATGTCTACCTTAAACAGTACTGAGGAATATTAGATTTAATACAAGTATGTGAATAGCTTAGAAAAAAAAGTCTTCTATAAGAGGGATGAAAAATCATGATCATGATCTTGATTGCTATTATCAGTTTTCATATGCATTTAAAAAAGTCATTTCTTCCAGCTTTTGAATTATAGAAAAGCTTTTTTTGGAATTGAGCTCTGATGTAAATTATTGTAGCATTTTTTCTAAGGCGCTTCTAAGCCCCTGAATTGCTAATGATATCCTTATCTTCCATTTATCAAATTCCTTCTAAACTTCAGATAAGAGAACTCCAATCTTCCCTTTTCTAAAAAACACTGTCAATGGGAAAATACTATAGAAATTATGGAAAATAATTCAGTGAAACTTTTTGTAAGTGTTAAAAGAGCATCTATGAAATCTATGTGTTAATTATAGGATGTGCCCTAACGTTGTAAGCTTGTTGTCAGTGATGAAATGGAAGGGTGTTGACATATTCACATTCATAAAGCATTATTAATAGGTGTATATGAAATTACAGTCATAGAATGGAAAAAGATTAATGTAATTTATTGAAGTAAAAAGGGCTTGGAAAATATTGTTTAATAATATTTTATATAAATTTAAAAATGTATATATTAGCCTGACATTACTTATTTTGGAAAGGATATGACACAATGGGAATTTTCATACACTACTCCTGAAATTGTAAGTCTGTGCCATCATTTCAGCCGAGTATGGTATTATCTGATCAAGATGAAGGATTACATCCTAAGATCCAGTATTTTCACTCTTATCAGAATACATATACATACACGTGCATATCACTGAGTTTCAATAGCTAAAGTTGAGAAGTCCTCCAAATGTCTATAAATCCTCCCAATGGATAAACAAATTGTGGCATACTTATACAATGGAATACTATACAGCAATCAAAATTAACAAACGAGACTGACATGTTTACAACAGAATAATACAACAAAGAAAATGAACAAATTGGAGCTACATAGATAATAATACTCGCAGATGTGAGAGGAATTATCAAGATGGAAAATACATTTAGTATAATCTCATTTACATAATGTTGAAAAACATTATTTTTGATACGTTGTAATTTTTTACCTTGGTGATAAATCTCTACAGTGAAACATGTGAGTGATCATTAAAACAATTGGGATAGTCAGGAGGGAGGAAAATATCAACAAGAAGACTTATATCGGGAGTATCTGGATTGCTGGAAATTCTATTTTTTTTTCACCCTTTTATTTGGATCTTATCTCTGTGAAGTATCTTTGACTGTGTTGGTCATCATTGAATCAAATATCTAAATAAACTGAATCTGGAACATCCTAGTGCTCACATCAAAAGCACTGAATAAAGTTGGAATGGAGACTGGTGGTGCTGGTGGTACAGCAATAGGGTAGCTTAGTTAGGTTGCACAAGCCCATCAAAACACGTGTGATTATATGATTAGAACCAGGAAACTGGTTACTAGAAAAAGTAATTTAGTGGACGGTAGAGAGAAAATATTGAATATTCAAGCACCTCACAACAGCTTACCACCAATTTTGTTTGAGGAATTTCTTTAGGCATTAAAATACAATAAACAACCACAGTTGCCCACTTTTTGATGTGGTTGTTTGATTTTTTTCTTGTAAATTTGTTTAAGTTCTTTGTAGATTCTGGATATCAGCCCTTTGTCAGATGGGTAGATTG